GGGGAGACCTGATTGTGGCCTTTCAGTACCTAAAGGGGGCCTATAGGAAAGATGGGGAAAATCTTTTTAGTAGGGCCAGCTGTGACAAGACAAGGGGTAATGGTTTTAAACTAAACCAGGGTAGGTTTAGACTAGATATAAGGAAGAAATTCTTTACAATGAGGGTGGTGAAACACTGGAACAGGTTGCCCAGAGAGGTAGTGGAGGCCCCATCCCTGGAAGCATTCAAGGCCAGGTTGGACGGGGCTCTGAGCAACCTGATCTAGTTAGCGGTGTCCCTGCTCCTGCAGGGGGGTTGGACTAGATGACCTCTAGGGGTCCCTTCCAACCCCAAACATTCTATGATTCTATCATTCTATGAAACAAACCACGATGCTCTAAGAACAGATATTTGGCTCCAAGAATGGATATTCCCAGAATCACTGAAGTACCGCAGTAGTTCAGAAACAGACTTATCTTTGATGTGCTGCTGACCAGTAAGGATCAGGAGCAGGAGTGGCGTACCACGTAAGCTGGCCTTCAAGGGAGCCATGAATATGCTTCTCCTCTGTATATTGAAATGAGCTTTAAGAAAATGCCTCTGGCAGACTTTTCTCTGTCAAAACAGCAGCTGCAGAAGGTGGCGTAAGTTAAGGAGATAAATAGAGGGTTGTCATAGTGAAGTTTTATGACAGATTGAAACAAAACGCCTTTTGAAAAACTTGTAATTTTCTTTATTACCCAGTCTACCCCGCCACACCTTTCCTGACAAAGTACAAGGAATTCAACTCCTCTGTAACAGCGATTGTCATAATTAACGTAGTCATCTCCTTTTCATTCACTTTTCCCATCACCCTTATTCCTTGTTATTGCTGTTTTCCCCTCCCTCCCTGGCTCCCCATCAATCTTTCAGGAACCACACAGTCCTTAACACACTGACCTGTAGAATGAGTAACCCTGCACTGTGCCAACGACCTGCCTCTAGCTGTACCTCGTAACAGGAACGGAGGAGTCACAGTCACGACTTTTTTTTTTTTTTAATTATGATCAAAATAAAAAACAGAATAAAGATTTAGACAAGGTTTAGCCAGCAGTAATGCGCTTCAGTATAAAACATCCTGCTAGCACTGTGAAGATGCCACGGAGAGAACAGCAAAGTGCTGCTGCCTGGCTTGATGTTTGGAACGGGACTCAGTTCGAGTTGCAGCAGATACCCAGTGGCACCGTGGGGAACATGGGACAACTCCTAAGCTGCATACAGTACAAAACCACTTTCTGATCTCACTATCACTACCTTTAAATTCAAATTATTCCTTGTATCCTCCTTCCAAGGCATTACAGTAAGCACTGGGTCATGCCATGCTTGCTTGAGAGTTTTGGTAAATAGCAGTTAACAAGCCTGGAGAACAGAAAAACATTTTAATGCAATCAACTACTTAGAAGGGGAAAGAGAAACTGTAATTATACTTAAAATGATGCTTTCATGATACACTATAAAACTGAATCATTGATAAGTTCATTTTCCCTGTGATACCAAAAAGCACTGTTCTCTTATTTGAATTTGTGATATAAGGAAGAAAAAAATCTTTGGTTACAAACAAGGTTTGTGTTTTCACACCAGAGCACATTTCCCTCGTTTTCACTGTCTGCTTCAGGTGTGACAGAGATGGCTTACTCTGCTGCTATAGCTTAAGGGATGGAGAGTGGTATTTGTCCCGGCAGCACGCAGTCTACATCTGCAGTAAAGATGGCACCTCAAGTCACATTCTCTGCCCATCAGAGAAACTTATGAACACAAATCCCAACCCTTACATTTGAATTTTTGTCTGTAAAACATCACCTACCAAAAAATCTAAACAGCCAGGCACATCTGTTCCCTGACAAAACGCAGCCCACACAATCCAGCGTGGTCACAAGCTATAGTTACTACCAAGCAACCACAGAGCTGCTCTCTCTGCAAGTATCAGCTCAGGACAGACTAAACCAGCTGAATACATGGGAGTTGAGAGAGACAATCTCTAGCCTTACTAATGCTTTCTACTCTCGCAGTAGTGAAATTCAAGAGAAAGGAATGAAAAGCTGTTTGATGAGGACGATGAAAATGATCAGTGCTGTATCCCTCCCCACACCTTCCAGCAAGCTCAGTCAGATACAGAGAAAAGATCCAGATCTACAGCAACACGCAGGAATGTCACAGCCTGTTCTTTCTCACCCTTGTGAACCTGCATCAGTCCCTTCCAAAACTGTGGTGACTGCAGCACCAGACTCTAAGCCCTGGGCTCCTCAGCTCCAGCACTGCCCATGCTCAACCCAAGGCTTGCTGACATAAGCCCCAACCTCTGTCACGCTCAGACCCAGGGCACAGCCACTGCCACCACAGCCCAGCACAAGCTCAGGCTGCAGAGAGCGGAGGATCAGCCCCGAGATGCCACTAACAAACCAAAGTTCGACTGTGGTGCTACTCAAAAAACGGTGCTGCTTACTGCAACCTTTTTGCTACCAAAGGTAAGGAAAAAGAAATGGCTGGTCGTAACAGGAATGAAGACTAGTTGCTCATTGCTCTGAACAGGCTTTCTTATGAAAGGACTCTGTTGAAAGCCAGAGAAACTAGAAAAGAGAGAAAAAGCAGAAGATAAGCAAAGGCCAGTTAGTCAGACCCTGGAAGGAATGGGAACTCTGTCATCTTCCTTTTGCTAACGAGAAGACTTCACACGTTGTTTCAGTACCCCTTACCTGGGAAATCAACATTAAAAGTACTAACATCTAAAAAATACACAGTGCTCATTAGCAGGAAATTACATAACAATAAAAAATTACTTAAACCACTATTAAAATTTCCTGATTCTATCCAGAAAATTGTTAAGATGTTCCCAAGCAGTTCCGAAAATTAGGATCAAATGCTACAGTCCCAAACTAAATAGTACTAAATTCTCTTTCCC